TAAAACTTAAGGGAATCTTCCTGCCTCAGTCTCCCAAGTGCTGGGATTACAAGTGTGTGCCATCAAGCCTGGCTACACAGCTACACACACACACATAAAATTCTCCCTCAAAAGTAAGTATTGGGCTGGCAAGATGGCTCAGTAAGTAAGGGTGTTTGCAAATAAACCTTAAAACCTGAGCTTTATCCTAGGAACTCAAGTGATATAAGAGAAGCAACTCCTAAAAGTTGTCCTGACTTCTATTTGTTTTCATGTCATGACCTGTGCATATGTATGTCTATACATAGAAACTACTAAGGCTCACTCTGTGGTAAAATGTTTGCATAGTATATAGAAAGTATATACTAAAAGTATACACCTAAAAGAATAGTATTGAATTCTAATTAATGATACTTGCTCTGAAGTGTTACATATTTATGTCTACTGCTTACTTAAAAATACATCCAAAAAAATGGGTGGCTAATTGAGAATATGAACAGGTAAAAAAATGTATAATACACCAAATAAAATGATATACAATAGCATGATCTACATAGCAGATATAATAGCGTTTATTGTAAAATTGGAATTCTCATAACTAAATGTTGGGATAAAAATATTTTATGAAGCCAGGCACAGTGATTCACACCTTTAATCCCAGCACTTGAGAGGCAGAGGCCAGCCTGGTCTACAGAGTAAGTTCCAGGACAGCCACAGCTACAGAGAAACCTTGTCTCAAAAAAAAAAAAAAGCCAGTACTCAAAGGGAAAGCATAATTTTAAATTAGTATGGTGGCATAGTCATAATTCTCAAATTTGGGAAGCCAAGGCAAGGAAAATCAAGTAAGTTCAAGGCCAAGCTGAGCTACATAGCAGGTAAAGACACCTGTCAGTCACACAGAACTTACATGGTAGAAGGAGAAAACTGACTTCTCTAAGCTATACTCTGAACTCCCCATGCACACCATGTGTGTGTGTGTGTGTGTGTGTGTGTGTGTGTGTGTGTGTGTGTGTGTGTGTGTGT